GCTTCTAGGTTGGAGGTCATGGCTTCTAGGTTGGATGCCATCGCTACTAGGCTGGCCATCTCCAGTAGGTTGGAGGCCATCGCTAGTGTGCTGGAGGCCTGGCTTCTAGGTTGGAGGCCATCGCTATTAGGTTGGAGGCCATCGCTACTAGGCTGGAGGCCATGGCTTCTAGGTTGGAGGCCATGTAGCAGGTTGGAGGCCATCGCTATTAGGCTCGAGGTCATGGCTTCAACGTTCAAAAAAACATCGCTACTAGGTTGGAGGCCATCGCTACTAGGCTGCAGCCATGGCTTCTTCTAGGTTGGAGGCCATCTCGAGTAGGTTGGAGGCCATCGCCATCGCTGGTAGGTTGGAGGCCATCGCTATTAGGTTGGAGGCCATGGCTTCTAGGTTGGAGGTCATGGCTTCTAGGTTGGAGGCCATCGCCGTCGCTAGTAGGTTGTAGGTCATCGCTATTAGGCTGGAGGCCATCGCTAGTAGGTTGGAGGCCATCGCTACTAGGCTGGATGGCTTCTAGGTTGGAGGCCATCTCTAGTAAGTTGGAGGCCATCTCTCGTAGGTTGGAGGCCATCGCCATCGCTAGTAGGTAGACGGAGGCCATGGCTTCTAGGTTGGAGGCCATCTTTGAGGCCATGGCTTCTAGGGTAGAGGCCATCTCTAGTAGCCCTCTTGGACCAAACCTCCTGGCAACAGCGCCTCGCTAAGGGGCTCCTCCCCAGGCAGGAAGGTCCCAATTGGTCCCCGTCATTGCCATGTCGGATGACCCTGATTTGAAGGCTGGCATCAGGTCGATCTTGGCTGAATATGCCTTGCAGGGAGACCCCGAGGACCGACCTGCCGGAAAGGCCTGTTTTGGCGCAGGATTTCACGCTCACGGATCCTGGGGACCTCTGGCATTTTCAGGCCTCGCGGTTGGTTTCTGCTGGAAGGAGCCTGGCTCAGGTGCACTTGGATTCGGTGTGGATTGGCAATGATATGCCTATGAACCAAGTGTTGAAGTTCCGATGGAGTGACCCTGACCGAGCTGCTTTGCGTAATCTTTGCTTGCAGGGTTTCAGTAACAAACGCATGATTTGGGACGCAGCATTGCTTTACCCACCTGACAATTCAGTAGCTGACCTGGTCATTGACAGGAATACACGTGCGATGCACTGTCACTTTCAGCTTTCCCTGAGGGGTGGTGCCTATGTGCTGACGCCACTGATCCTGCTTGGTTTGAGGCAGTTACCATTTGGGGGCCGGAGGTAGTCGCGATTTCAGCTCCCTGTCCACCATGGAGTGGTGCTGCCCAACAAAGGGGGCTATGCTGCAGTGATGGTCAACTCCTGTTGCGAAGCATTGCATTGTGCAAGTTGCTGAGGCCCAAGGTCATCATCATTGAGCAAGTTGCTGCCTTCCATAGCCATCCACACTTGGATTCAACGGGCTCTGTGGTTTGCTGGGTATCAACTGAGATTTTCTCATGTGCTGGAGCTTGGGGATGGCCACAAGACGTCCAAGGTGGCTAGGGGTAGCCTACATGGTTCACGAAGAAGATCTGAAATGGCCAGCCATCTCTTCATGGAGCGTTGAGCGCGCAGCAACTCTGGAAGAGTTTGACTGCGTCCTCACATGGCCTCCCACCATTTTGAGCCAGTGGCAGGTTCCAGAGAGTGCTTTAAACCAGGCACGATCTTTCCCCTTGGACCGAGGCACCAAGCAGCAGAAACGATGTTCAGCTGATGAGGCAACAAGATCGCATGTTTTTGGCCCGCGCAAGTCCTTACCAACGTTTATGGCCCAATATGGGACTCAACATCTCCTACAAGGTGAACTAGTAGAGACTCGTGGCTACTTTGCGCATTGGTTGGAGGAAGACAGTTCAGCAGCCACGCGATTCTGGCACCCTCAGCTGATCTCTCCAAAGCCTGGAAAGGTATGGGTAATCAGATCGCAATACCTCATGCATTGTGGTGCCATCATGCTGAGAGCCCGTGACCCACAACTCAAATGGCCTGAAGTGTGAACAGCATCGTATGA